AGCCAGTGTAATGCAAATATATCTGAAAGGTCTGCGTGAGGATATCGTCAGGTTCTCATGAGACCAGGTTCTCATGAGACCAATCAGATCTCGCGAGACACATCGGATCTCGTCACACCCCTAATAACCAGTTGACGCCAGCAGAGGAGCACTTATTGGCATATTAGTCATTCATTTCTACCTTTTCTCTATATTTTGGAATTTATAAAATCACTATTATAAAATATCAAATCATCAAGAAATCTGATTTTGTCAGAATTTTACCCTTTTTTTTTTGTGTATGAAGTAAGAAAAGTCACAAAACAATAGTAATTTTATGATAAAATGATCTATATTTTAATACTCCCACACACCACCCCCAGCACTACCAAATCTGCTCCTGGCGCCACCATCTGTAGAACTTATTGGCGCTGGTGCCACTGCTCTCAAATGTTAGTCTGGAGGCCTGTGCCTGAGCCTGTGGTTCCCCCACAGTTTACATTGGCCCTAGACATAGCCTATTACAAATCACTTTGCATCATCTTCACTCACAGTGAAGAACTTCCACACTGACGACATGTTTACATGCGGCTGTGAGCATAAGTGTGACATCAAAATGGATCAGTGCATCTCTTATATGTGACCCTGGACCACAAAGGTCTTAAGTCGCTGGGGTATATGTGAAAATAGCCAAAAATACATTGTATGGGTGAAAATCATTGATTTTTCTTTTATGCCAAAAATCATTAGGATATTAAGTAAAGATCATGTTCCATGAAGATATTTTGTAAATGTCCTACTGTAAATATATTAAAACTTAATTTTTGATTAGTAATATGCATTGCTAAGAATTCATTTGGACAATTTTAAAGGCGATTTTCTCAATATTTAGATTTTTTGCACCCTCAGATTCCAGATTTCCAAATAGTTGTATCTCTCCCAAATATATCTGTCATATCCTAACAAACCAGGCATCAACAGAAAGCTTATTTATTCAGCTTTCAGATGATGTATAAATCTCAATTTCGAAAAATGTACCCTTTTGACTGGTTTTGAGGTCCAGGGTCACATATAAATATATATAGTATTTATTCATATTTTGAATTAATTTTTCTGAAGCGCGTCGATTTTTACAAAGCTCATCGGTCTGAAAAGCGAGGTGTGCTCTGATTGGCCAGCTATCCAGTGTGTTGTGATTGGCCGAATACCTCAAGTGTGTGACGGAAATGTTACGCCCCTTACCATACTGTGATGCCCTGTCCGGCCGGAGCGACGAGACAAAACCAATAAAACCCATTATAAAAGAGGCATTTGTTGCATCCAGTGGGGACATAATTACTGATTATAATGATTTATAACGTCTTTTTACGCATTGCGTTGTGTTGCATCGCGCCGGGTAAACATAAAACCATGTCTGCATTTGTGATCGGAGAAATGACAAACAACAAGTGTTACTCTACACTGCTCAAAACTCGCGTTTGAATCGTCAGTGGCAAATTTTTTAAATTTGAAAACGTACTTGCAGACTGTGAGTCAGAACAGCCGGCATTGTAGTCTACTCTCCGAGGATCAGGAAACAGTCCTCCATAAAATGCGCTGAACACATCTGAATATTTGGGTTGAAGTGTTCTGGAACAGTGTTGTAAACACAACTTAACCACTGATTTCTAGTCGTGTCCTCTTTTGGAAGTCCAAACAAAGTAGTTTCGGTTTCACAACGAAACACACAGTCTTCACACAATGGCAGCGGCGGTGGCAGCAACAATAAAGTTACGCCTTCTTTCTTTGCGTGAACATTTGAGTGGCGTTATGCAAATCTTCCCACACAGTGACATAGACATGTGGGGCTGTGTTTAAACGAGGCGTTTTAGGAGGGTGTGGACCAGTCTTAACTTTTATAAAGAATATCTCTTTGGGTTTGAGACTTTAGTATTTGCAACTTTAGGGATCTTATCTATTAACAAACGGCTTGTAACACTCCAAAGAGAAGGGAAGACTTGAAATCGCAGCATATATGACCCCTTTAATCATTTTATTTATTTTTTTATATTTCTATTTAGCTTTAATTTTTATTTTAGTTATATTAATTTTAGTGCTTTAACTTAAAATGATTCAACTATTCAACATTTTTCACCTAATATTTATATTTTGTTATTTCAGCTCTTTCAATTATTGAATTTTTAGTAGTTTTAGTTTTAGTCATCAACACTGCTGAATATATTTCCATATAATTTTCTTATTGTGCTGTTGAATAAAATCCCAATAACACAGATGGAGCAACAGCAGGCATAATTTTTGTAGATGCTGTGAAGTGTAAACAGATTTATTAGCTTGGTGCCTGAGAGACCTGCAGTCAGCATGTACGACAGTGCACAGAGGCCAAGGGCAGGCAGTGGTCAGTTTAATTTTGTCCTCTCAGAATAACCAAACATTCTGTTTTCAGAGTTTGACCTCATCAATTTCAAATGAACTTCTCTCCTTGTGTCCTTTCAGATAAAAAAAGAATATGGACATAATGTGGTGCCAGCTTTTCCACCAAAGAAGATCTTCACCCTCACACCGGCTGAAGTCGATCAGAGGAGAGAACAGCTAGAGAAATACATGCAAGCTGGTGAGAAGCATCTTCTTTTATCTGAAAAGTTCACACAAAAGTTTTGAAACTAGACTCTAAACATTACAAAATACACAAAACAGATATACACTACCGTTCGAAATGTTTGGGGTTAGTAGTATTTTTTATGTTTTTGAAAGAAGTCTCTTATGTTCACCAAGGCTGCATTTATTTGATCAAAAATACAGTAAAAATTTGTAATACTGTGAAATATTATTACCATTTAACACAATTTTAATATAATTTTTTAAAGCAAAACTACTTTATTTGGCCTTCCAAAAGAGGACACAGAAGTTGTATTTACAACACTGTTACAGAACAGTTCAACCCAAATATTCAGATGTGTGCAGCACATTTTATGGAGAACTGTTTACTGATCCTGGTAGAGTAGACTACAATGCCGGCTGTTCTGACTCACAGCCTGTAAGTAACGTTTGCATATTTAAAGGATTATCCACTGATGATTCAAACGCGAGTTTTGAGCAGTGTAGAGTAGCGCTTGTTGTTTGTCATTTCTGCGATCACAAATGCAGACATGGTTTTATGTTTACGTGGCACAATGCAACGTGTAAAAGGACAGTACAAGTCATTATAATTCGTAATTATGTCCCCACTGGATGCAACAAATGCCTCGTTTATAATGGGTTTTAATGTTTTTGTCTCGTCGCTCTGGCCGGACAGGGCATCACAGTATGGTAAGGGGTGTAACATTTCTGTCACACGCTTGAGGTATTCGGCCAATCACAATGCACTGGATAGCTGGCCAATTAGAGCACACCTCGCTTTTCAGACCGATGAGCTTTGTAAAAATCGACGGGGCATAGAGGATAAAAAATAATTAGTTTTTTTAACCTTAAACCGCATAAACGCATTGCATTACACCAAATACACAAAATAATGTTCTTTTTAGCAGCATCATATGACCCCTTTAATGAAGAGAACATTTAAAAGAGCCACATTTATTTGAAATACAAACGTTTTGTAACACTATAAAACTCCTTACTGTCACTTTTGATCAATTTAATGCACGTGTCAAACTCAAGGCCCGCGGGCCTATTTCGGCCCGCCACATCATTTTATGTGGCCCGTGAGAGCATATGATTGTCTTAAAATAAAAAGCTATGCAGCTTTATATCATAAATTATGAAAGTGCGTATCAATACCACAAGTTTCTGTTTCTATTTGGCGTTCTATTTATACGCATAAATTGACTTTGGTGTGCATATGATACGCAATGGTTAGGATTAGGGGTGTGGGGTTTTTCAGTTGATGAAGAATGCGTGGACGGCTCAAAGGAATAAGTGCGGACCTCCGTGCTAGAGCCCCACCGACGGAAATGGAAAAACACAATATTCTCCATTCATTTAACGAATTTAAAAAATTGATTGCAGCTTTCAGACACTACTTTCTTCTTGTTTTAAAAGTTAGTTTGAGGCGGTTTCTATTGAGTTATTTTAATGACAAATGTCCAGAGCACATATTGCCTATGCGAGAGCACATCAAATGCACGTCAACTGGCAAACTCCTGGAAAGTCTAAGGATCCAGTAAGCAAATGCATTCAAACAGTAAGTTCAAAACAGCGCTAATGCAGAGAAAACATGGCCGATTTCATCAGAGATGGCAGAGATAATAGTACTCACGTACAGATGTAAAAATCAGCAAGCTTGGGCTTAAAAGCACAAGTGTTTTATACTGGATGCTGACTGAAGTTGTTTTAGATTACGCAGTAGTCAGTGGTTTAGTAAATCTGGATCAGTCAGGTCAAGGTAGCTCATTTAGTGGTCTTTTGGCGTCCCCCTGTGTTCCTGTTTGGTATCGAAGATTGACTTCAATTTTTTTATTAAGGGTGCTTTCACACTAGCACTTTTGGTGCGCACCCGGGTTCAATTGACGTCAGAGTTCGGTACATTTGGATGATGTGAACGCTGTCTTCCGAACTCGGGTGCGCACCTGCGAACTGCGAACAGAGGTGGGGGACTCGAGTCACATGACTTGACTCGAGTCTGACTCGAGTCGCAATTGTCATTAAATTAAAGTGATTATACATGATTAATATCATGTTTGTAATTAATTAACGATGTCAAACTTTAAATTCACTGGATTATTTGATAAAAATGTGTGTTTGTGTGTGTTTCACTCACGTTCCTGACGAGCACGACTGACGCGCTGCAAGCAGAGAGCTGTATATCTCATTTTTGTTCGCCTTCAGAGTTCTTTAGAGCATTTGCAGTACATTCGTAAGGCAGACATAAGTGCCGTTATGTACTGAAGCTTTGGAAACAAAACCAACGGTTCAAAAGCATAAATATAAAATTGAAGAGAGCAATGCTACGCATTTTGCCGTCTTCTCCTGCACCATCGTTACTAAGCAACAGGGTAAACAGCTGCTGGCTTGATGACGCAAACAAACCGCGGTTCGGACCCAAATAATATAATGTGAACACAGTCCAGCAGGGGGAGGGGGCTATCGAACCAAGTGGGAAAGCACCCTAAAAGTGCTTTAAACTACTAAATGTAATTAGGACTGCCACTAACGACTATTTTTATTTTGAATAATCTATCGGCTAATTAATCGATTAATCTAAACCAGCAGTGGCGAACTCCAGTCCTGGAGAGCCGCAGCCCTGCAGAGTACAGCTCCAACCCTAATTAAAACTCACCTGCCTGTAGCTTTCTAGTAACCCTTCAGACCTTGATTAGCTTGTTCAGGTGTGTTTGATTAGGGTTGAAGCAAAACTCTGCAGGGCTGCGGCTCTCCAGGACCGACGTTCGCCACCCCTGATCTAAACGATTAATTTCCCACAAAAAAATCAACAATTTTACTTAAGAATATTTTATTAAACTATATTTCATTAAACCAAATGAAATCCAAAAGGAAAAAAGTAAAGTGCAGCATAATGTGCAAGAAGCAAGTGCCCATCTCATAGTCCAAATCACTGAAATCAAAGTATTATAGTGTAAGAATGACAGTATTATAGTGTAAGAATGACAACATATCCACGTGTTCTAGTCTACTAATAATAAAATTATATTCAAAAAACACTTTTTAAAGGAGTATTTACCAGAAATATTATTTACCAGAATTTATTTAGGAGAAAAATGTAAATGTCCAGTATTTCTGGAAAAAAAACAACTTTATTTTTTATTTTTATAAAATCAATTAATTGGAGATGCTTTTGATTATTAAAATTTAATGGAACCATTAAAATGGAATCCAGAAAATAATGGAAAATAGAATTTGGTAAGTGAACAATAGCCTTTAAAATGACTTAAAATACATACAGTATATAATAGCAATGAGGCAATAATAATTAGTTCAAATAAAGTATCAAAAGCAAGAAATCATATGGGTTTTATTGAACAAAATTGTTAAAATACATAATGTATTATAAACAATAGAGCTAATGTACATTACGCATTACAACAAAGGCCTGCAGGGGGCGCCAACGGCCTGACGATTGTTTTTACACATTGCTGTGCGATCTAATCCTTGTTTAATATTGACCAAGCACCATTTCATTCAAATGTCCACTTAATCTTTAATATTTGGCCATTTCTTTAGGACAGAAATGCTATAGCCACTGTAATTGAATGAATATGTAGACATCAAAACGTGTAAACTCAGAGTGAGGGTTTGAGCTTTTATTTTGAAACCGCGATGTATTCTCCTGTGTTTGCGTAAATTTATAAATGATTTACCTTACAAATCTGATGAAATGGTGCATGTTGCGGTCCCAGATGAACGTTATAATAAACCCAAACTCACAACAACATGCAGAAATGGAGTTTGAGACGCCCTACACATGTAATGGCGCTTTTCCACTGCGTGGTACGACTCGGCTCGGTTTGGTTTGCGTTTCCACTGCAGTTCAGTACCACTTTAGAGTGGGCGGGATTATTCACATGTCGTTATAGTTGCGCCGCCTCTATTGCCGCGACTCCTGAAAACCTTTTTCATTCCGCGTCGCCCCATCAAGCTCTGGCTGGATCCGCTCCTCTGCTATCAACGAGAGGAACGCCTGTACTTCCTCAACAGACAACGAAACAGCCACTTTTTGGTTGTTAAAAAAGGTGCGCTTGTTCAAAACAGTTGCGTTCGATCCTTCGCTGGCTGTGCTGATTTAAATCTAGCGGTTCTGTTGTGTTCAGTGACGCAGGTAGTGACGATTCTCTATGGCCAATCCGTGATCAGCATAGTTTACACGTCACGTTTTGGTAACAGTATGGTTTACTTGGAACCTCAACCGAGGTGGTACTAAAAAAAGTACCAGGTACCAGGTACTGTACCCAGTGGAAAACCCCCCAAAAGTGAACCGTACCGAGCTGTACCATGCAGTGGAAAAGCGCCAAATGATAACAGTTCCTGTGGAACTACTGTGAAAGGAGCCGCTGTGTGACGCATGTACTTAACCTACACGCATGTAAATAATTAAAGCGCATATACTGTATTAGAACTGCATCGTATATAATTATTTAATTAAATCGTAGTGCTTGTGAATTCACAATTATGCTTAAAGGTGCTGTAAGTTTTTGACTCTACTAAAGCATAAAAATACCATAATATGTTTGCAGATATTTAAGAAACATGCTAAGTTAACATACTTGTTTATCTGAAAAACAATGCTACAGTCAGCTATTCTCCTTTGAAAATGTGCGTTCCGGGCTGGAATGTCGGGCTCTGTTTTGGTTTGTGAACCGCCCACTGCCAGTTTACCCAGTTGTATTTCATCACCCAGTTGGCGGAAAACAGAGCGTTTTTCATTTCATTCATCGTCAAGTGCGCTCGTTCTTGTTGGTGTTGTCAATCTGGCAACCTGCGTGTGCTTCAAGTCTGAGGAGGGGCCGGGTGAAAAAAAACCCCTCTCCAATATTTTGAATTTGGACTGCAATACCTAGTTCAACCACTCGGTGTCAATCCTACATACAGCACCTTTAATTATGATTTTTAAATGGGTTTAATATACCATGCAGCCTTGGAAAACAGACTAATAATGTGTTTTATACATTCTCGTCTGTGAAATGCGCCACTTCCAGTATTTTGCCGGTTAGTCGACGTGAGCAAAATGAAGTCGAGGATTTAAAAAAATCGAATAGTCGAATAAAATCGACGAATCGCGACAGCCCTAAATGTAATGTACAAATGTTCATTTTCTGTGAAGCTGCTTCGCAACAGTGTATCATGAAAAGGGCTACACAAATAAATGTGAATTGAATTGCAAACAGTTATTAATGAATTTATTTATTTATTTTGGCACTATATACATTCATTGCAAATTATGAAAATTAAAAAGTACTTTTTTAGTACTTTAGTTTGTATTTATTTTTGTTTTGGGTGGGGGAGTGGGGTTGAGTATCACCACTTATTTTTTTCTACTACAAGCATTGATTGTGTATCATATGCACACCAAACACGTGCGTATCATATGCACGCCAAAGTCAATTTCTGCATAAAAATCACATGCCAAATAGAAACAGAAAATCGTGCTATACACTTCCATAAGACCGGACTCATTTGTTTTTTAAATGCCATATCTGTCACACGTTCTTAGCAGCTTACAATTATTTGTTGTACCATAAATGTAACAAAAAAGTTTTTAACAAAGTTAATGTAATGACCTGTGTTAACATATATTTTTACATCTATGCAAATGCATATGCAATATTTGTAACTTAAGTAATAATAAATACTATAGTAATAATAATACTTCCTCAAAAAAAACATATGCCTTCATATGGTCTTGTAATTTCTGCTCTTCCTGAAGAGGACGGAGCTTGTTAATGTTCTACGTTGACATTCATGTCAGGAAAACGTCAGGCACACTGTAAAAAAGAGGGCCACTGAGGATTTTGCCATGCATGTAGTTTAACAGGTTATGAGTGAGGTTTTCTCCACACAAAAGGAAATCAGCGGCGCTGGCAGCAGCAAGAGCTGTTTGCTCGAATCCATTCCAGCACTGGCACTTTCCATCGAACAAGCTAAGCCTTGTTGAGCTTATTTGCTCACAGTCTGGAGCTGCTCTTGGCTGGAGCTCACCTCAGTTACATCATTGAGAAACATGGTTATGGAAAATTAACCGACACAAACACACAAGCTAATATTTCGTTAGTTTGTGCAAATGGCTTGTGGTTGTTTGCTTGTGTGCTATATTGGAAGTAAAAATAAACATTGTAGTTTATGTCGGTCTGTTTGCCGCCAGCATTTTTTTTTTTTTTGGTAAAACTGAGGTTATTATTAGTCAGGGAGGCATGGTGGTATTTTTAAAGAAAGACTGCATTGTATACCAGATTAGTTTGCGTTTACACGATTTTGACAAATTATTTTTTAAACATCGAGGTTTACGTTATGGTTGAATTGAGACAAAGTTGTATTATTTTCTCAATGTACACAAAAACATTCTGACAATCATTCTACAAACTTTCCCAGAGGAAATTTGTACCTTGAACCTTTAAAGGACTGTCACAGACTAACCACGTCTAATACTTTGATAAAAACAGTGCCATTGGTGTATTGGCCTTGTTCTCCAGTAGCTTTAATGTGTTCAGTTTGTTTGAAGTTTTTGATGAACTTGCAAATTCATTTGAGTCACCACTCAAAATGTTAAAGTCAAAATGTTGCACTGTATTTTATGGGTACTTTTTGATGGTGAGATACAAAAGTTGGGGTCGGTAAGATTCTGTAATGTTTTTGAAAGAAGTCTTTTATGCTAATCAGTACTACAGTTGTTTTATCGAACATATAGTACAACTGGTAATATTGTGAAATGCTATTAAAATTTAACTGTTAAAAATAAATGTAATTTATTCTTGTGACGACAAAGCTGAATTTTCAGCATCATTACAGTCTTCAGTGTCACATGATCCTTCAGAAATCATTCTAATATTCTGATTTGCTGCTCACGAAAAACATTTCTTATTATCAGTGTTGAAAACAGTTGTGCTGCTTAATATTGTAACTGTAATAGCTTTTTTATTTTTTTATTCTTTGGAGAAAAAAAATAAGTTCTAAAAACAACAATCTTTTGTAACAATGTCTTGACTGTCACTTTTGATCAAATTAATGCATCCTTGCTGACTAAAAGCATTAATTTCTTTAGCATTAAGCATTATTAAGCATTAATTAATTTAGGATGGCAAGTAATAAAGACTTTTTTATTTTCTCCTTGCAGTGCGTCAGGACCCCATTCTGGGATCCAGTGAGATGTTCAACAGCTTTTTGAGAAAAGCTCAACAGGTAGAATTTCTATACTCTTTTTATTTGTTTAATTATTTATATTAATTCCATAATTTATTCTCATAATTGCAAATCTAGTATATGAATTGCTTCTGATTTAAATATTGTAAACATGCATATGAAAATGTATTGTAAGTTTACAGATTTAGGGTTTTCCTCTCCATGTTAATGCTATTAAAATTTAACTGTTAAAAATAAATGTAATTTATTCTTGTGACGACAAAGCTGAATTTTCAGCATCATTACAGTCTTCAGTGTCACATGATCCTTCAGAAATCATTCTAATATTCTGATTTGCTGCTCACGAAAAACATTTCTTCTTATCAGTGTTGAAAACAGTTGTGCTGCTTAATATTGTAACTGTAATAGCTTTTTTATTTTTTTATTCTTTGGAGAAAAAAAATAAGTTCTAAAAACAACAATCTTTTGTAACAATGTCTTGACTGTCACTTTTGATCAAATTAATGCATCCTTGCTGACTAAAAGCATTAATTTCTTTATCATTAAGCATTATTAAGCATTAATTAATTAATTTAGGATGGCAAGTAATAAAGACTTTTTTATTTTCTCCTTGCAGTGCGTCAGGACCCCATTCTGGGATCCAGTGAGATGTTCAACAGCTTTTTGAGAAAAGCTCAACAGGTAGAATTTCTATACTCTTTTTATTTGTTTAATTATTTATATTAATTCCATAATTTATTCTCATAATTGCAAATCTAGTATATGAATTGCTTCTGATTTAAATATTGTAAACATGCATATGAAAATGTATTGTAAGTTTACAGATTTAGGGTTTTCCTCTCCATGTTCAGAAATGTCCTTGCCATTTTTCTGCCTCTTTATTTGCATTTAGCGATCAACATTTGCATAATTTCTGTTATGTATTCAACCAAAGTGACCGTTTTCTGTCATAAAACCTTAATCATTTGAATCTGCCTTTCTCCACCTCCCCATTTTTTTCTAAGAATCTAAAACACAGAATCCAAAAATTTTAGAGAAAAAAAGCCATTTCCTAGTCATCCAGTAAAAGGGTTAAACATTGGTTGGTCTGATTCTTCTCATTTCCTCATTAAGATATGCTCATGTGTGTTGAATGAAGATCCAGTCCATGTGGATTCTCTCACTTCCTGACATTCCACTACCATCCTGTACTACATTTGTTACCTGAATCACATAGATTGCATTCATTCTTCAGGAATTTCATTCCCCAGCCCACATAGATATTGGCAATTTTGCAGTCAGACAACCCCCCCTCCCCCCGCTCGTGGCCTTGCGTTTTCATTTTCCAATCTCTGTAAAGATCAGCTGCTGCTCTGAGACTCTGCCTCAGCGGGAGATGAAACATGCAGGAAGAGGGGGGAAAAGATGAATTTGCAAAAAGCAAATATAGGATTGTAAAAGAACCGTGACGCCACTTGTTATTCATTAAAAATGCCAGCAATGTGGTGTTTTGACACGTATTACCAAATCACTTCTCTTCTCTAAGAATGTATATCTTGCAGTATCTATACACAAAGCTCAAAGCATAACATGACTGTGTTTTTTTCTATTCCGTGTTCTTGGAGTGTGTGAAAGAGTGTGATTTACGGTAATGTTATCCGTACTGCATGTTCATCAGAATATTCTGAGATCAGCTGAATCTGACAGGAAGCGTCCGAAGTTGAATTAGAGTTCAGCATGAAGGTGCTTCCTCAAACCCTTTTTAAAGTGCGTCACTGTTTGGCTGTGCTGCAGGAGACCCAGCAGATTCCCACTGAGGAGGTGCAGCTAGAAATCTACCTGTTCAATGGCCAGAAGGTCAAAGTCAACATCCTCACATCGGACCAGACTGAAGATGTTCTGGAGGTGAGACGGTTTCCAAAGCATGCATCTGCTTCATGTTCTCCAAGCCTATTATTATTATTATTGCCAGGTTTATGCCTTTGTCGTTTTGAATAGTATTGTTTATGGTTTACTGACACCTTTCATTTAGTTAACATGATTACGCTGTATTTCTATCTGCAAAAAGATTCAGTTAACAAATTCATATGGTCAAGGCCTGAAATACATAAAAACAGGACATACACACATTTATTTGATTTTACAAGTTAAGGATTTATTTGTTAGGGCCTTTAAAGTTAACACTGCTAATTACATTTGTTTATTGCTCAGAAATAGGTATATTCTTATGATACAAGAGAAACCAATAATGTTTTGCCAAAATTTGAGTTATTTCTAGCTATTACTGCAAATTTTATTTGTAAGGACAACTTAATTTAGATAGATGGTTTCTTCTGTAGCGAATCAGCTCATGGGGAAATATGAATAATTAATCATAACTAGTTATAATTCATTATAAATATTTAGATCCGCTGTAGATATTTACTTGACCTCTCAGGGTCAACTGTCTGTCAATTCTAAGAACTTTAATTTCCTGGTTAAGGGAAATAACTTTCTTACTGTACAACTCTACACATAGCCTGTAGCATGAATCTGCATGATTAAGGACTCCAGTTATGAGCAAACAATGAACAACGTCAAGTGTGATACAAGTAAGACTTTATTAACTACATAAACACTTAAACTAGTCTAACATACTACATAAACACACACACACACACACACACACACACATACAGTTGGTATAGGAAAGGGTTAAAGCTTAAGCAGTAAAGAGGAGAGAAATAAGGAATGAAGTTATGGAACCATTTGCATATTCAGCAGATTTACAGCCTGAAGGGACATCAGATTCTTAGTTCAAACACACCTTTGTAAAAAGGTGCAAATGATACCTAATGTATCAATTAACAAGACTAAGTTTGATACTTGCACGTCTCGTCTGTCTGAAAGAGAGGTTTGATGCAATCTGAAGGTTCAAGTTGATCTTTGCTGAAGTTGGTTGATGAAAAAGAACCAGTTTGAATTTGATTTTACAAGTTAAGGATTTATTTGTTAGGGCCTTTAAAGATAACACTGCTAATTACATTTGTTTATTGCTCAGAAATAGGTATATTCTTATGATACAAGAGAAACCAATAATGTTTTGCCAAAATTTGAGTTATTTCTAGCTATTATTGCAAATTTTCTTTGTAAGGACAACTTAATTTAGATAGATAGATAGTTTCTTCTGTAGCGAATCAGCTCATGGGGAAATATGAATAATTAATCATAACTAGTTATAATTCATTATAAATATTTAGATCCGCTGTAGATATTTACTTGACCTCTCAGGGTCAACTGTCTGTCAATTCTAAGAACGTTAATTTCCTGGTTAAGGGTGTCTTTCCTATGGAAATTGTAGTGAGAGGGGTAATTCTCAACATGCCATTAAGTCGTAAATGTATCTGGTCTAGCAAAGGTGTCGTGGTTGCCATGGGGACCAGGGTCCATCTTGGCACCCAGTATGTTTATTGGGTGAGGGGTCGGTGAATGTTTGTTAATCTAATGAATAATTGATTTGCAAATCTTCCCACATCGTGACGTAGACGTGGGGGCGTGTTAGAACGAGCCTTTTTAGGTAGGCGTGGTTGACTCTTTACTTTTATAAAGAATATCTCTTTGGATTTGAGACTTTAGTCTTTGCAACTTTACAGATCTTCTTTATGCACCAAGAGCTTGTAACACTCCAAAGAGAAAGGAAAAATTGAAATCGCATCATATGACCCCTTTAAAGAGCTCTTTGTGGATCATAGCTTTCCCATGTGCACCACACAGAGTCATGGCCGATCCAAGCTCTCATTAAAATGCACCCTGCACCCATATGCAGCACCCACTGCTTTCTGCTGTGCTATTCAAGCACACTGATGGCCCAAAGCGCCCTTTAGCACCTGATGGAAGTGAGAAAGTCAAGTGTTGGACATAAAACGGGCATAAATGTAGTGAAGTGTAACCTGATCTGCTTGGATGTAATGTTTAACACCTAAAACACTCCTGTTGAAGAAAACCATCCAAAGCACTTTTGAAAATTTGGCCACAAAGAAAAGGTGGTATTTTTAAAGAATGAAACAACATTATGTGTACATATGATTTGTGTTCTTTGCCTATGAATACATATGCAAATCTGGTTGTGAATTGGTTTGCTGTCATCTCTTGTTGGGTAAAATAGTGTAGATTAATTGATTTTTGATGTCTTTATCAGGCTGTGGCCTCAAAGCTCGACCTTCCTGATGAGCTGGTGGGATATTTCAGCCTCTTCCTGGTTCAGGAGAGGGGGGATGGGGGCTGCACGTGTGAGTATAACATTTGACATTTTTAACATATGATAGAAATCATAAGATGTGCTGGCATCAGATGTGGCCTGCTGGCTTTAGCTGGAAAGTGGTTTGGCTGTTAGTAAATGGTATCTAAAAGTCAACATACTTCCTCTGGACTGAATATTAAAGCAGTCCTGGCAGCTCAAAAGAGAAGTCTGTGTTCTGTTGAGATAGCCGCCAACTCTCCACAAAAGTAAACTGAGGTCAAGTAGATGAAACTTCGGTCAAGCTGTTGTTGGCATGGCACACACAGCTCTGCTGTAGGCCTGTAATGCATGTTAGACAAACACCATTATTATTATTGCTCATACTGGGTCAGGGATTGAACAAAACCCAAACCATAAGTATTAAACTTCTGGTCTGTAACCCGTTCTGTTCTTTTTTTTTTTTTTTTTTAGCTCTAAATATGGATAATACCTCAAATTATGCAGCAAAACCCCTCATACATTAAATATTTACTTGAAGTATCCCATGAGATTTAAAGTTAATATTTTTTTTAATTTACATGCATGTTCATAGTTTTTTAATGTGATGTTCACATGACAGCTTAACATCGTGATGTCTGTTAGCCATCGGCGATGGACGATGGCATCGTCTATCGGCCCAACCCTAGTACCAGTGCTATTTTAGTATCATCAGTGGTGGACAGTAACGGAGTAGCTTTACTTCGTTACTGTACTTAAGTACATTTTTCAAGTATCTGTACTTTACTGGAGTCGTTTTATTTTGAGTAACTTTTACTTTTACTTCACTACATTCCAAAGCATAAGATCGTACTTTTTACTTCACTACACTTCATAAAACATATCGTTACTCCTTATAATATATCACGTGCTCCGAGACGCAGAAGCGGTGTCTGATTCAAGAACGAACTGATTATTTTCAATGAACCTTTTAAATCGGTTCGCAAATCACACCAAACGATTCATTGACGAATTAGAATGAACCGATTGCAGTTGTTCTCGAGTCGACAACTCACTGATTCAAATAAACCGTTTAGTGCGAGTCTCCAGTGAACTGAATTCACAGGTAAGAACCGGGAGATCTTGTGAGTGCGCGAGCATCTGATGCTGCTAAAAGTAAGTAACTAATGTCGAATTTTAGGATTAATTATTGAAACTGAAAATCATATTTAGGTCAAAACTGTCAGTTGTTTGTGAACTAAATCTGCTGTAAAGGGTGATCTATTTAAGCCCACTGAAATGATTGAAATAAATATATCTGGTAACAAATAACAAATATTTACTCAAGTACTTGATTTGTGTACTTCCTCCACCACTGAGTATCATTGATATACTGTTATAACTTTAATTAATATGTTTATTTTGTTAATTAAAATGTTTTAGGGTATTTTACTTTTAGTTAACTGTAATAACTTTGTACTGTACAATAAGAAAGTAAATATTTTATAATTCTTCTAATTCATTTTATTTGACATAGTATATTATTTACAACACTAATATTTATTTCTTAAATTCTATTCTGCCAAATTTTAAAACCTCGATATTTTACTTTAGTGACATAAAGTCAACTTTAAAAAATGCCTCTTATTACAAATATTGTAAAATGCTAGACACTTATTGGAAAACCACATTTGGGGAAACCCTATTCTAACCAAGAATATATTGATTTTTGCCTTGCCAACAATAACATAGGCAAACAAAGTCCCATAGGGGCCTGGGCCATATCAAGGGACCAGTTACTTTGGAGGGTCGGCCATTTTGACTTGGGCCAGTAAGAAACTACCCAGAAACTGCATAGCAACGTGCTAAAAACCTCTCAGAACAACATAGCAGCTGTATAGCAACACCCTGTCAACCATGTAACATATGTTATAAACATGCTACCAGCTAACCAGTTATCAATATTTTTTTGTATGCGTAATACCTTTATGAGCTTTGTGGTAAAACAAGGCATTATGACCTCTGAGAAGAAAAAAAACTACTGCATTATAGTTGCCTAGAGGTTGAAAAACAACATGAAACAATGGTTCAGTAGAAATAAATGTGCTTTTCTCCTTAGTCTGTTATAAACAATGTTTGTTGAGACGTTGTTGGCAGGAGTAAATGCAACAGCAGGAGTATTCAAATTGGTTGTCACTGTATTGATTGATTGCGTATGGCCTGAAATGCCCTGTGCAGAGAAATATTACTTGCTCCATCTGAAATTAAACCGATTATACACTCACTGCGAGGAGTTGTTTGCTCAAGAGCATATTTAATAAAATTTTGGCTTTAAGCGTCTTTTCGAATGACCAGGAGTGCATAATTTTTATGAACCCCCCCAGGGACAAAATAAATGAATTTCCTCATTCCAGAGTTTTTCCCTGCAATATGTGTCATTAGTTTAGTGCAAAGGGCAAATTAATTTGTAAAGAATTGGCCATTTTGTCCTTGATTGTTCTGTTTCCAATTCTGCCATCATCGTGTTGTGGAATTGAACATCTTTCAAAGGATGAATGCCTAGGAGAGCAGTAGAGTTATTGAAAGTGGAATTATATATTTTTTTAGACTTCAGACTTGGTCCAGTTCTTGAAACTGAAGGGCATCTCTTCACTGATTTTATGCAGATGTCTGGCAGTCGCTCTCCTTGTCTGGATGTAATGTCGTCGTTTTGTTTGTGGAACTTTCCATGTCTCCTTTTTTATACGAGCTGTCATTGTTTGACTTCTTTTAGCACAGAATCATCACGCATCCCTGAGGAATGACATGCTATGTGCCTCCCACTCAGCTGCAAGATCCTCACCTGAAACAGGCTTAATCCTGTCAGATTTGATGAAAAACAGACCCCAGAACGATCCTCCACAAAAATGAATCTGGCATCCTGCCCGATCTTGGCAGAAATGCGCATTGGAGGGAAAAAAGTGAGAAAAATAAATGCCTGCAAACAAAACCTGATTTTCGATTGCGTGCCAGTGGAGCCAAAATCAAGAACTGTGTGCCAAAAACATGTCAGTGCTAAAACCAGAAAAATCTTACTTTTATTATTATTATTATTATTATTATTGCACTATTTAGAATATTATAATGTTTAGTCCTATATTAGTCGTATTTACAATTCATAATAATATATATATATAAACACTAATTATTATTACTATGTCTATTATTATTGACAATAATACTATTTAATAATAAAACAAAAACAAAAAAATATGTAAAAAAAAATTTTTTTTTTTTATTCACTTACAACACTTTTGAGATCTTTACAGTGACAACTGTAAAGCAACAACCTTGCAACCAATTCAAAACGTGGTGGTAATGTTACAGTTCATATGTATTTATTAAGACATTGCTATCACATAATACCATTCTTGTCTTAACATGCTGTCTAATGTCAGACCTCTGAAAGGGTAAGCCAAAGAGTAGAATGACAAGTTGTGACGGCATGCACTATGCTATAGATCTAACTGTCGTCTCTTCTTCTTTTCACACTCCTGTTTTGAATATTTCTAAAAGCTCAGTGCCCATTTCATTTCAGTCCCTGGCTTCCATCTCTCCCTCTTTCCCAACTCTAGAGAAAACGTCATCTTTTCTAACAGCTGCAGCATTTATTCTCTCCCTTCCTCCCTCCCTCCTTCCCTCTCTCTGTTCTTCCTTCTCTCTCTTGCACAAAGTGATAAACATGTTATTGTGCCCTCTATGGCTTTAGCCAGATGGATTCTCCCCCATCTCACTTTGTTTGTTGTCATTGTTATTACTCTCCAAATGTCCTCGAGTCTGAAGGCACTCATACATTTCATCTGGTCTCTCATTCCCTCGTCCAAACCTCTCCGACCTCCCACGGTGCCCCAGACGTGAGAAAACTGCAAGAATTTGAGCTGCCCTACGTGTCCATCACCAGCCTACATAGTCCCGACTACCGTATCGTCCTCCGTAAAAGGTACAACACTTATTTTGGAAGCAATGGTTGAGCATTCGGTCCTACAGCAAAGTGTACAATAAGACTACATTTATGTAGCCTAGAGAGGAAGTTCTTATAAAATGTGTCAATTGTCCTTAGTATACTTCTAAATCAATAACAAAAAACAGCCTTTTTAAAGGGACAGATGACCAAAAAATTTTTATTCTGTCATTTACTCAATATCATGTCGTTTTAAACCTGTATGACTTTCTTCTTTCTGTGGAACTGTGGAAGGCGGGCCTTCGTTTAATACAGGAACTATTCGAGCTGTTCATGCCAGACTGGGGAGAGAGGTGTTGTAATAATGTAAAATATGTGAAAAATAATGTTTTTCGAAAAACTTTGTATGAGAGCCTGTTCTAGTACACCCCCAAAACAAAATCAAGACTTTGTAAAAGAGCATAATAGGACCCCTTTAAATAAAAAATAACTATATTGTACTATATATTGTTACCGTGAAATAAAATTACTCGTATCATGATATAAGATTTTGGTCATATCACTCACCCCTAGTCAGTAAAATAGTTTTTTTTCTTGTAGTGAACGGGCCTTAAATGATGATAGAATTAAAACTTTTGTAGAGCTATCCCTTTACTAGAGCTTAAACTTTCCAGATTTCCAGTATAAAGTTGTTTCTCAGAAACTTCATGAGTGCTTCCCAGAATATAATTTTAATGGTGAGATGTTTTAACAAACAGCTCTCAAAGGGCAATTCAACACATGGATATTTGCTTTATGAAGTACCCCACAAGGCTCAATCTTCACTGTTTAAATGACTAGAAAGGTAGTTTTTGCCTTCCTGCTGTAGATGTGGGTATTAACATCATTACCACAGCGGTCTGATCATGTGGTTCTGTGCAGCAGTAGTTTTCATATTTGCACTTTAGACTTTTTGGACTTGAAGACAGTTGGATTTAGACATCTATTTTATAACTTAAACGGTCTCTGAAGTGCTGTGCTTTCCAGAATCTCTGAAGTGGTTAAAGCATTACAAACTTCATTATTTATTCGCTGGAAAATGCACATCCGCATACAGCATATAAATGTTGATGTTCCTAGTGGTGTATTAACTGCAGTATTCATCAAATGCCCTTTGGAGTGTGCGGTTTATGTAATGGAATAATTAGTGAGAATCAGGGGAGATTATTTATGTAAAATCTCCAACAAGGGCATTGAATTTTCCACGACATTCTAATTTATTGAGATGCACCTGTATTATTTAGCTAAAAATGTTTCCACTTTCACCACTTATACATCCTTGGTAAGCTAAATCTCACACCTCTTCGTCTTGTACTGTTGGAAAAGGTGCACAAGATGCTGGCGTGTTTTTCTTTTCAGTCCCCTCAGAGGAACTGCAGGCCTCTTGACCTACTTTACAGGAGACTACAGACAGCCTTCAGCCAGATCCCACCTGTTCACTACATCAGGAATGGAATATAGATCTGGCTGCTCTGACTGGCTGCTGACAGGCAGGAAAGGGTAGAAAAGCACAGGAATATTACACAGCTACTGTTCAAAAGTTTGGTGTCAGTAAAGAAATTAAGGTTTTTATTCAGGAAGGGTGCAATAAATTATTCAAAAGTGTGGAAGCCCATTTCTGCCACCAAAAAAAAAAAAAAAAAAAAAAAAAAAAAGTTAATTGCGAGTTTTTCCTCACAATTCCTTTTTTCTCACAATTGTGAGTTTAATCTCGCAATTCTGACTTTGTTTTTCTCACAAATGTGTAATACAGACTCGCAATTCTGACTTTTTCTCCCAATTCTGAAGTTATAAAGTCCAATTCTGATGGAGAAAAATACTGTTTTCTTCAGTCGTCACAGGAATAATTTAAAATTTTTTAACAGTTTTTAATATTAAATTCAAAAGTTATTTTCTTTATTACTAATCTACTGTGTTTTTGATCAAATAAATGGAGCCTTGGTGAGTGCAAGAGACTTTCAATACATAAAAAAAAAAAAAAAAAAACTTTTTTGAAAAAAAAAATCACAAAACATACTCCCATGCTTTTTTTTTCTGCTCACTGCCTGTCATGCATAGTTTAAAAATGCTCCAGCATCAGCCACTAAAAGCATTCAAACGAGATTTAACGGATATCCAGTTTTGGCTGCTATGTGAACAATATGCATTGTTATGCAAGATTACATCATTGTGCTCTTACAAACTTACTTAACAGACCTCGTTCTGCCCACAGCGTGATGAGAATAGTTTTTGACATATGGACGGTCAGGATGGCCATTGAGCTGAAGATTGCTCATTTGCCAGATTGTCGTTTGCTTCTAGGCAAATGGAGACATACACTGCAGTAGCATTTGTTCAGTAACTTATACGCTAGTATTGCTGTGTAGCTATAGACAGAAGCTTCATTACAGGACAGAACCATTCTTTTCTCTAAGTTTAACTTAATGGAATATTTGAATAAAATTCTTCTAGACTATCAGGCGTGTGTAAAGAAATGGTGTGATTTTGCAGTAAAATGCAGTGCACATGATTTTAAGTCTCTTTAGTGCTTGATGGTTTTAAATGATACATCAGAAAGCGGATGTGATCAAAGAGGTGGAAGGTAAATTATAGTATTTCCCTTGCATAACTTATCATTATTGTCTCCTGCCCTGTTCTTAGCTACTGGGACACAGCTTACGACAGTGATGTCATGGATGACCGTGTGGGACTCAACTTGTTATATGCTCAGGTAACAGTCTCCTAGTTTAAAAGATACTCTGTGTTTGATCCATCGCTCAAAAAGTCATAATGTGCATAACTGTTCTGGCAAATAATGTGTCTCCTGTTCTGATTGTCAAAAAAATTTTTTTTTTTTTAAATAAAATGTATATAGTTATTTAGACTTTATGGGAATCATCCAACATTGGCTTATTTATAGTTGTCTTAGTTGACATCATCTTTAAAAACTAAATGAAACATTTTTATTAAAGGGCTAGTTCACCCAAAAATTTAAATTCCGTCATTAATTACTCACCCTAATGTCGTTCCAAATCTGTAAGACCTTTGTTCATCTTCAGAACACAAATTAAGAAATTTTTAATGAAATCCGAGAGTTTTCTGACCCTGCATAGACAACAACACAACTGAGGCCCAGAAAGGTAGTAAAGACATTGTTAAAATAGTGTGAATGCCTTATTTGTTTGGAACGGCATGAGGTTGAGCAATTAATGACAGAAATGTTCATTTTTGGTTGAACAATCTCTTTTACGTAACGCAAATAAACAATAAATAAATAAATAACACAACACATTTGAGATCTGAAAACGAACTCTAAAACTAACTAAAATAAAATGGAAACAAATACTAAAAATGTTATTGTATTTTTTGATACATGATATATTATTAGGGATGTAACGATGAACCACGAGCCGATTTGTCGATTCAAATATGTGACTATTCAAATCGGTTGAGATGCTAAACAAATCGTGATTCAATTGAAGTAGGAGTTTATATGAATGCATCTCTGAGGGGAACAGGGAAAAGTTTACTTGGTATTTTCTTTTCATCTTGCCTCTGAAAGATGCATATTAAAGTAGTGTTCATAAGCGCAGTTCTGCTTTGTTTACATTGATAACCCAGGAAACACTACAGTATATTATTGCGGTTCATAAGCGCCACTTGCTGGCAGAGAGTGAATTTGCGTCTTATTCAGCTCGTCTGCTGTTTCGTTCAGATATGTTTTATGTAGTATAGTTTCACAAAATTAAAGTCAGACCATTCTGTTTTTGCTTCAAATGTCGAAATTATACAGTCTTAGATTAAAAACTGCTCATGCTGCATCTTTGTTTGGATCATGATTAAAATGCAGTGGTTGCCTCTAATTTTAAATGGAAAGAGCACAAACAAAGCCTTAGTTTTTTTTTTATATATATATGAAGAGATTTCTTTTGTGTAACTTATTTGATTTGGGGTTTGTTAAAAAATTTATATTTAGTTTTGTTATATTTCAATTTCACAAAGAAACGTGCAGCAATCATCTAATAAAAGGATACCTTTTCATTTACTGTATAATGTCTTCAATCTCATTTTGTGAAAAAATCGTGAATCGAATTGAATCGTGAGTTGAGTGAATTGTTAAATCCCTATACATTATAAATCTTAAAAAACCTGCATTTAAGTAATTTACTGAACAACAATAATACCAGACTACTGAGAAATGTATGCTCCATCAAACATTTTAAAATAAATTTTATTTGAGTATTAACTTCTACAACCATAAAATACTATTAAAACGGAAAGTAAAACCGTAAATATAGTGCTTCATTTGTAAACAGCAGTTAGTGCATTAGGTTTCTAGCATTTATTACATTTTATATAATAAATGTATATACAGTGGGTACGGAAAGTATTCAGACCCCCTTAAATTTTTCACTCTTTGTTATATTGCAGCCATTTGCTAAAATCATTTAAGTTAATTTGTTTTCCTCATTAATGTACACACAGCACCCCATATTGACAGAAAAACACAGAATTGTTGACATTTTTGCAGATTTATTAAAAAAGAAAAACTGAAATATCATATATATATATAAAAATTAAACAAAGTAGAACTGAAAACTACAGTGAAAATTAAAAAACTAGACATAACTGAATATTGAGCTGGGATTTATTTTATGGAAAAACTGCACAAATCTTCCTTAAAAACAATTTATTCAGTGAACTTCAGAGTGAGAGAAACCGATTTTTTCCTCTTTCTTCCACTCAGACGGTGTCTGACGTAGAGCGGGGATGGATCCTCGTGAACAAAGAGCAGCACAGACAGCTGAAATCCCTGCAGGAGAAAGGCTCAAAGAAGGAGGTACGGCTGAGCTCCGCCACACACGTTATTTGATCTCCCTAGTGTCTGTGAGCTGGAAAGAAATTGACTACTTCTATAAAAGCCATTCTCAGACGTGAATGTATTATGTTGAAGCCTCCAGTAATTTGTGTCTGTTAGATAATCATCTGTGTCTAACTATATTCTGTCCCACAGTTCATCAGATTGGCTCAGACTCTGAAGTACTATGGCTATATCAAGTTTGATCCCTGCATCACAGATTTTCCTGAGAAGGGCTGTCATGTTATAGTTGGTGCCGGCAACAACGAACTCAACTTTCACGTCAAACTGCCCAGTGATCAGATGAAAGAGGGCAGCTTCAAAGTCACACGCATGAGATGCTGGCGGGTCACCTCATCTGTAAGTTTGATTTAAAAAAAAGTATTTTACAATAATGCAGACATCATTGCAATTTTGCATTCAAAAAGGTCCATTGTTGGTGTATGAAGCAAGCAGACCGCTTATGTTGGTCAAAGTCACATTTTTTTTGACCAGCTTGAGCAAAATCTGCTTGGGGAACTTTTTTGCTCCAAGCGAAACTCCTGATCAAATGGATTTCTATTGAAATTACTTGATTTTGCTGAACAATGGTAAATGCAACCATGCATTTAGCAAAGGCATACTAAAAATGGTCACATTGACCACAAAAGCTTGTCGTTCAGCAGTTCCTGAGTTCATTCCTAAAGTATGTGAATAGTTGAGTCAAATGAGGTCACATTTTTAAAGTAAGAACCACACCACTTGTGTTTTAGACCTAGTTGCTTAAATTAAACAGGCAAGTTTTTTTTATCTGCTTTTAATACGTTTGAAATAACTTAATGACAACTTTATTTTAGCCTGGAATAGTTGAATCTCTATAAAAAGCTTTATTTTGTTAAATGTTGTGAAATAAATGTAACAAAAATACTTATTATAATGCTTTTTGCTGTAAGAATGTAAAAAACTGAAATCTATAAAATTTTATTTAAATAAGTATGCTAGATAAAAATAAAATGCTAGAAATAAAAATCTATTGTTTTAAACACTACAAATGATTTTAGGCACCACAATATAATAATGTACAGTATGAAAAATAGATTCAGTGAAATAAAAGCATAATTGTGACTTAAAATGCTTTAAGTAAAACTATATAAAAACTGAAATTCTATTTTGTCTAAATAAATGAAAAATAAAATGCTAAAAATCTATCAAATGTTTTAAACACTACAAATGATTTTAGGCACCACAATATAATAATGTACAGTATGAAAACTGGATCCAGTGTTCAGTATAATGTCTTATTATTTTATTTATTTATTTATTTTCAAAAAGATATGCACTACTTTTTAAGGTAAGGATGTAGGAAAACTTCCTTTTACGTCTCCAGACAACTCTTTTCTCCAAATTCCTTCTATGACTGTCTCTTCTGGCATGTCTGGTTGGTCTGTTTCGGAAAAAGGGAAGTTGAAACGGGGATGACCAAAAAAGCCACTTTCAGCCAGGAAAAGAGACTGTGTTGTTTGCCTGCTTGCTTGCTTATAACTATCAGCTACCAGACACTCGTCCATTTATCTATTGATATTTGTTTCATGGGAATCCACTAAATGTATGCCTTCATGGTTTTCTGCATCCATTTTAGTATACCAGAATATGGAAACAAAATGAAGACAATCGAAATCTTCATTCTGTATCTAAAAGTATTAAGAGTTCTTTCTCCATCGTTGTAGATTAACAAATAAACGTGCCACATAGAAGCAATACCTAAACAACTTCTAGTGAAAATGTGAAAATGCTTTGAATATTTTCAGTTTGGTCCAATACAAGCAATTCAGTGCATATTGGAAGTTGTTTTTGCTTCACTCTGCAGTGGTCTTGGCTTAGTTTTTGCCCTGGAATAGCAGAGTTGTGTTACTAATGAGCTCAGAACGGCCGTCCTCTGAGACCAGGACCTGACGCTGAGGATGCTGGGACTGCGTAGCAATGTCTCTCTAATGGGACTGACAGAGTTTACTGTGTCTGTGTGAAGTTGTTGTCTGCTTTGTCATCTGAGACAATTCTAATGAGACACTTTTTTGTTGTTGTGCTGATGATGCTATGTAATTATGAGGACGTTGGCATTTAGAGCAGAGCTAATAATGACTAATTGAGCTTTGAAGGTAATTGCCATGTAGAGGAGTTTAGAAATGGCCTCTGTAATTGCCTCGACACAAATAGCAATGATTATGATGATCGTATTTGTGATGACCCGGCCTGATTCTACAGCAGGTGCCTGTGGCGAACGGTACCGCAAACCCAAGCAGTTCCAGTAAATGTGACGTGAAACTAGAACTGGCCTTTGAGTACTTGATGAGCAAAGACCGTCTGCAGTGGGTCACCATCACCAGTCCACAGGTCAGCGCAGAATCAATCAATGATATTGAAATTCTATACTATTTTTAAATGCTACAAGTTATTTTAGGCATTCATTTTGAGATTTGCTGAAGATTTCAAATATTATTGATATATTAGTGTTTTTAAAGATTAAATTTAAGTGAGCTTAGATGACGGCAAAGGTAAAAATAGTGAATGAGCCTTAATTAAATATCCAGTAGTGACCAATAAATGTTTGTCTGTTTGAGAATCACTGGACTGTGAGTTTTTATTGTTTTTCCCCAGGCTATCATGATGAGTATCTGTCTGCAGTCTATGGTAGATGAGCTGATGGTGAAGAAATCTGGCGGAAGCATTAAAAAGGTCAGTAGGTCTATGTTTGTCTTCTCGTAAATACCTGCCAAATATCTGGGGAGTTTCTGAAATATCTTTCAGTCGGTGGATGTATCTGTGTTTGATTTATTTAAGAGCTTGAGTCTTAATTTGTTTTTGCCATATGGGATTTGCATGAAGAACCCTTTCAGCATAATCTGGTCTTAAATGTTGGTTAAATCATCTGTTTGCTGGAGAGACTTGAGCAAAACTGAGCTCACTTTAAGTCAACTTGAAAGTACAGTATATTCAAAACCAAATTTATACTTCCTTTAAAGGATCGGTTCACTTCCAGAATAAACATTTCCTGATAATTTACTCACCCCCATGTCATCCAAGATGTTCATGTCTTTTTGTCTTCAGTCACAAAGAAATTAAGGTTTTTATTAAACATTCCAGGATTTTTCTCTATATAGTGGATAAAATCAATGGTGACCAACCGGTTGAAAGTCCAAATTGCATTTTCAGTGCAGCTTCAAAGGGCTCTACACAATAACAGCCGAGAAATAAGGGTCTTATCTAGTGAAACCATCTGTCATTTTCTTAAAACAATAAAAATGTATATACTTTTTAACCACAAATGCTCGTCTTGCACCAGCCCAACCTCACGCAATACATAGTCATGTTGGAAAAGTCACAGGTGACGTAGGCGAAAGTACCGACCCATTGTTTACAAAGCGAACGTGCAAAGATAGTCAAACGGCCTTTACGAAAAAAGGTAAAACAACGATGTCAGAGGATTTTGAATTTGGTGGAGAAAATGAGATGGAGTTTTTCGCCCTAGCCTACCTTTTTGAACTGAAGTACACGGATGAAGAACTAACCGCACGTAACCTTTCCGACTTGAAGGCGTGAAATTGTGGATGCGCATCGCAGAGCTAGTGCAAGATGAGCATTTGTGGTTAAAAAGTATATAGGTTTATTTTTTATTTTTTTACACAAAATGATCGATTGTTTTGCTAGATAAGACCCTTATTCCTCGGCTGGGATCGTGTAGAGACCTTTGAAGCTGTATTGAAACTGCAATTTGGACCTTCAACCTGTTGAAGTCCACTACATGGAGAAAAATCCTGGAATGTTTTCCTCAAAAAACCTTAATTTCTTTGAGACTGAAGACAAAAAAGACATGAACATCTTGGATGACATGGAGGTGAGTAAGGGCATTTTTATTCTGGAAGTGAACTAATTCTTTAAAGTCGCCATGTAACAGAAGTAGCGACAGACCTTTTCTTCTATAATATGACATAAATCAGAGTGAAAAGGATTATTGAAAAAGGAAAAATGTAGGACGGGGTCTTGGTTTTCTTCGTCTTTTAATTGGATGATGGCAGATCAAAATGCAAGCTTGTGGTTGGTTGCAAAAAGTAGCAGGGGTTAAAGAGATTACACAGAGAAGTCTGGTATACGTCATCAGAGAAAAGTCAGAGCTATGCAACATTGTGATGCATGGATGAATTATTCACAATGAGATCAATAACTTGCATTTAGAAAATAGATTTTTAATGTGGCATTTTGAATGTGGTTTATTGTGGCATATGTCATACTAGTCATTCAATAAGCAAAAAATGCAGTGGCACTCAATTCAAGGAAATCAATGTTGCATACTAGAATGCAGATAAAAAGTTGTTTCAGTGTAGAAGTCTGGAACCGTGGGACCCGACCAGATTTCTTGTGCTGCAGGATTAAATTCCCGAATAAAATGAGATTACACAGAGAAGTCTGGTATACGTCATCAGAGAAAAGTCAGAGCTATGCAACATTGTGATGCATGGATGAATTATTCACAATGAGATCAATAACTTGCATTTAGAAAATAGATTTTTAATGTGGCATTTTGAATGTGGTTTATTGTGGCATATGTCATACTAGTCATTCAATAAGCAAACAATGCAGTGGCACTCAATTCAAGGAAATCAATGTTGCATACTAGAATGCAGATAAAAAGTTGTTTCAGTGTAGAAGTCTGGAACCGTGGGACCAGACCTCTACACAGACCTCTATTTCAGTGCTAAACTCTTTTTTTTTCAGGTTTTGAAAGACAATGGTGACCAACCGGTTGAAAGTCCAAATTGCATTTTCAGTGCAGCTTCAAAGGGCTCTACACAATAACAGCCGAGAAATAAGGGTCTTATCTAGTGAAACCATCTGTCATTTTCTTAAAACAATAAAAATGTATATACTTTTTAACCACAAATGCTCGTCTTGCACCAGCCCAACCTCACGCAATACATAGTCATGTTGGAAAAGTCACAGGTGATGTAGGCGAAAGTACCGACCCATTGTTTACAAAGCGAACGTGCAAAGATAGTCAAACGGCCTTTACGAAAAAAGGTAAAACAACGATGTCAGAGGATTTTGAATTTGGTGGAGAAAATGAGATGGAGTTTTTCGCCCTAGCCTACCTTTTTGAACTGAAGTACACGGATGAAGAACTAACCGCACGTAACCTTTCCGACTTGAAGGCGTGAAATTGTGGATGCGCATCGCAGAGCTAGTGCAAGATGAGCATTTGTGGTTAAAAAGTATATAGGTTTATTTTTTATTTTTTTACACAAAATGATCGATTGTTTTGCTAGATAAGACCCTTATTCCTCGGCTGGGATCGTGTAGAGACCTTTGAAGCTGTATTGAAACTGCAATTTGGACCTTCAACCTGTTGAAGTCCACTACATGGAGAAAAATCCTGGAATGTTTTCCTCAAAAAACCTTAATTTCTTTGAGACTGAAGACAAAAAAGACATGAACATCTTGGATGACATGGAGGTGAGTAAGGGCATTTTTATTCTGGAAGTGAACTAATTCTTTAAAGTCGCCATGTAACAGAAGTAGCGACAGACCTTTTCTTCTATAATATGACATAAATCAGAGTGAAAAGGATTATTGAAAAAGGAAAAATGTAGGACGGGGTCTTGGTTTTCTTCGTCTTTTAATTGGATGATGGCAGATCAAAATGCAAGCTTGTGGTTGGTTGCAAAAAGTAGCAGGGGTTAAAGAGATTACACAGAGAAGTCTGGTATACGTCATCAGAGAAAAGTCAGAGCTATGCAACATTGTGATGCATGGATGAATTATTCACAATGAGATCAATAACTTGCATTTAGAAAATAGATTTTTAATGTGGCATTTTGAATGTGGTTTATTGTGGCATATGTCATACTAGTCATTCAATAAGCAAAAAATGCAGTGGCACTCAATTCAAGGAAATCAATGTTGCATACTAGAATGCAGATAAAAAGTTGTTTCAGTGTAGAAGTCTGGAACCGTGGGACCCGACCAGATTTCTTGTGCTGCAGGATTAAATTCCCGAATAAAATGCGGTAGTGGTCGGTAACTCTGGTGTAATTTGAACGGGAGCGGGCGGTCTAACAATATCCCATTCCCGAAGTCCATTATTGACCACCGGTACAGCCTGCACTCGGACTGTTATGCACGCATGCTTTCTGCAGGGGTCTGTGCACAGCATGTGCATACCGATGCTCAGAGCAGGCTGTACCGGTGGTAAATATATGTCCCTCAGTCAGAACATGAGTGACAGAGCAGAATAAGGATGGAGCAAAGTGTGGATGCGCTGTCCTTGAAGGACGTTCAACTCAGTTTTGTTTATATTTTGCTTCGCCTATAATTTGAAATGACAGGTGTCGTATTTATTTATTTTTCTCTGCGACACTTTTCCTACTGTGTTAACAGAAAAATGTCAAACGTATTTAGTATTTTGACAAGACGAATAAAAATAGCTAATATGCTATTTTTGTACAACCTACATTTTTTTTCTCTCTGCGACACATTTCCTGTTGTGTTGTAAATGTTAAACGAATTGTAACCTGACAAGACGAATAAAAATAAGAAATACAATTTTTGTACAACATTTTTATTTTCTCTGACACTTTTTTTCCTATTGTGTTTCATAAAATATTAAACAAATTTTGTGTCTTAAGATAATTCATATAAATTCAAGGCAAAGTCAATAAATTCAAGACAACGAGATCTAAATTTAGCGGGAACGGTCGGGTAGGGGGAAAAAATTATTCTAAGCGGACTGCGGGTGAACAGAGTGAATATATAGCGGGAGCGGGTGGGTGCAGAATATAACCTTGCGGGAGCAGGATTTAAAAAATAGTCCCGCGCAGACCTCTATTTCAGTGCTAAACTCTTTTTTTTTTTTCAGGTTTTGAAAGACTTTAAAGACATTATTCTCTTCAATAATATGCATCTATGAACCATGCACAATAAGTTCAGGAATGTGTTTTATGAAAGTAAATGTGGTCAATTTGTATTTCATGCCTATTTACAGGGCATTTTCTGTCTTTTTCTCTAAGTTTGTGTGATTTGTGTTTCCAGCAGATGCAGAAGAAGCGACTGAACGGCTCGTTCCAGCGCTCTGACAGTCAGCAAGCTGTGAAGTCTCCTCCATTACTGGTGGGCGCCGCTAATGCAGAACACCTCTAGTTTTGATATGGAATATGTACCATTGTTGATATGTGATATGCATGACTGTTTTTCAGGATTCCCCTGATCCCAGCCGTGAACAAGTAGTCAAACTTTCTGTGAGTTGTCAATGATTTTCATTTCATTATAATGAACTTACTATGGAAATATCCTCTATACTGTTTTTATTTATACTGTGAATATATACTGTTATTATTTATATACCATTATAGTATTTATTATTTTGAATTAGCTTTCATTGTCACATTTTCAGTGTTTAACTATTGTTAAGTTTAGCTTTATTTCAGTTTTAGTTTTAGTAATTTTAGTATTTCAATTTAAACGTACTTTACTTCCCAGGCACAATTTATCATCTAATATTTATATTTTATTTCTATTAGCAAAAAATGTTAATTTTAGTTTTAGTTATTTAGATATTTATCTACTGTTCTCTCTATTATTATTTATTTTTATTTCTACAGACCAAGCTGTCTTCTGTCTCCCTGAGAGGACTTAGTTCTTCCAACTCAGCCAGTGACATCAGTGGCAATGATTTCCATGGAAACTACGCCTTTGAAGGAATAGGGGACGATGACCTGTGATGGAGTTATCCTCAAAGACTGGACTAAAGGAGACCGATTCATTTAGCAGTTTCTCTGCGATGAGTGTAGTTTAATGTGCCCCTATTATGCCATTTTTAAGGTTGCTAATATTGTTTTATGAGTCTCCTAAAACAGGTTTACATGCATGCAAGGTCAAAAAACACGTTTGATTTCTCAAAAAATAGATTTAATTTGACCTCATTTCTAAATGATTCGTAAACGACTCGTGCGAAGCAGTTCAAAGAATCAGTCTCTCTAAACCCCTCCTTTCCGTGAGCCCTCACTGCTGTGATTGGTCAGATGGCACAGTCCTTTGTGATTGGTCCAGAGCCGTAGAGAGCTTGGCTCTGGATTGGTCTACCGCGTACAGCGCGTGTCGGGAACGAAACACCCATTACCATGATGAAATGACAGCCCTGGAGACTTGTCAATACATAGAAAAGATTGTATCAATTGAACCTTACCAATTCGAGCCGGAGTCTGATGATGAAACGGTTGAACTGGCTGATCAACAAGAGACTGATTCGCAAGCACGACTGGAGCAGGACGTTTCTCAGTGGTAAGTGTCAAGTGTTAGCAAGTTTGTGGTAATTATAAGATGTGATCAAACTAATTTATTCTCACAGCGTAGGATACAGCGTCTTCTCGACCTGATGTTAACCACACAGAAGTTTTACTGTTTGTGGGCGTGCAAGTTGGCGACGTAGAACGTGGGCAGACATTATGCAAATTGTGTTACTTTGTGACGTAGATCCGTAACAGAATAAGATTCGAATTCCTGACAACTCGTTTAGGCGATTGCGAGCCAACTCTTTTTTTTTTTTTTGATAGACAAAAACGATCTGCAAAGTTGTGAAGTTGACAGTGCACGATAAATAAAGTTAATATTCACATACAGCTACATGACACACTGCATGAAAGGTAATATTCGAAAAGGCATTATAGGGGCACTTTAATAGATGCCCAGTTCTGCAGTTTTGTAATCCATTTTTGAAAAAAAATTGTCAAGGGTCTCAAAAATGGCCTATGAAGTACATAATGTTGACTCAAGTCTCATTACTTTTATGAGAGGCCTCAGATTCAGTGCTTGCTCAATTAAAGTAACAAAAATGAGATAATTTCAGATTTGAGGCATAATTAGAGACAACGTCAACAATTAAATTAATACAGGGTTACATAGGCACCTCAGGGCAATTTGCTACATTCAAGAGAGGCTGTGATGAAAGTTTCTTCTGAAGACGGGCTTTATTGAATCGTACTTCCTTACTAGAGACACAAAACTGTGTTTTTCCTCTCATGTCATCATCTGGCAGACACAAAATTCCTGTTGTCTCATTTTCTCGACTGCTCATGACAGTAGTTGCCTACTAGAGTTAGATCCATGCCTGCAAACTGTGTTGATATGGTCCTTTTAAAATCAGTTGATAATATTATTTAATAGAGATGTGCTTCGTATCATTCAGTGTGCCAATGTTGCTCAAACTATTGCGTGGGAGCAGCAATATGACCCATGGCATGGTAGATCTCTGCAGCTTCATGTTTTTTTTCAGGAGAGGTAAACTCGACCTGACGCTTGCTGCATATTCATTGCATATCCTGGATGAAAATACAAGATCTTTACTGTGGCCTGCTTTCTCTCTGCCTTATGCTGATTCAGACGCCTTACAGTTTAACTTCTCAAATTTAACATTAAATGTAGCGCCGGGCACAAGTTGGCTAAAAAGCTTCTCTCAATCTGGCCTCAGCTGTGTCCTGTGTCCTGGTTTTGGTGTGTTCGGCAGGCCCGCTTGCACGAGCTGAACTCGTGTCTTTTTGTGCACAATATTAAGTAAGATAGATGGCTTGGGTATTTATTGAGATAGGTAAAACTGTGGGAAAACATCCTGGAACATTCGCAAGAGGTTTGTAGGCCTTTTTTTTTTCTTGAACCAATATATTAAAAAGGTTTCTCATAAATGCCAAAATTATAGTTCACTAAAGCATTTTGCACAAAAATCATGGTAATGTCACTTTTATAAATGTACATGCAATTAAAAAAAATATTCTAAATATTTACTAATATCTGTATTATCTTTAAGTACAGTTCATCAAATATAATCCAGGCTGTGTTAAAAAAAAAAAGATTAGAAACTAACATTTATCAGTGTTTACAAAATTGTTGAAAAAGAGTGTTTACAAATTTCACATCTAAATTTCAGTGATTGTCTTAGTACACTTTATATATTTCATTTAGAAGAATATCATTCCAGTCTGTGTTTTTCTTTTTATTATATACATATAATCCATTTTGTATTTTACTAAATACATTGTGGCAATCATCTCAAGGACTGTGATCACATGGTGCTTGGGAAATGGCTGTATTTTAAATTTATGCTCGGTTTTTGACTGTAATGATAGTCATATTGAATGAAATTCCCATATTCTTCATCCCAGATATATGATTCCTCCCGTGGGCAGAATGCGTCAAATGTGAAGGTTGTTCTCATGTCTGTGTGCTGTATGGCTGATTATTTTTAAGCTGATCCGACTGTAATTTGTGATTGCCATGTTCAGTATGTTCACCAGCATCATCATCATCTAGGATGAAAAGGGTAACCGTCTATACTCTTAAACCCTGTACATCGCTCATAAATCAGTATGATTTATTTTCCAAATTCTCACTTCATTTTAAATCCAAGAATGGAAGTTAGAGCCTTCTGGCTTTCAATAAATTTAGGAGCCAAACGATGCTCCTCCGTGTTGTTTTCTGTTCCTTGGTTTAATAACAGAAGCATGATGGGTATTTCAGCATGTGTGATTATCATATGAGATTGCCTGTAGACACAATGACTCTTGTGCTTAGATAGTGTGTAAAAACCCACTAAAGGTCCAAGGTCCTGGCTAAAAAACACTAGCATGAAATGTAGGTTTTTGACCTACAATTTGAATCACCATTCAGTGATCACAGATTGTCAAATTTCCTTTTAATGTAAGCTTTTGCCTCAAAACAGGCTGTAACACTTCAGAAAAACGATCTAAAACTCATTCTCACAATCTAACAGCATGAAGATCACGGCAAGAGTTGTCAGTGCTCCGGTGCTGCCCGGGGCGCTGTCTTCATTAGCATGTTTACCAGAGCTGTTCGCAGCAGAGAATTACAGCTCTCATGGAAGTGTGAGGATTACACACTGCTTGTCTCAGCATCTTAATCATATCCTGCTGGTCTATTAGTAACTTACTTCTGAGCAGTTGTGTGACTGAAAGATGGCAAATCAGTTGAGATGAGGAAGTTTCAACACAAACTCTTTTATTTGAGGATACTTAAGGCATTAATGAAACCACTGCATAATAACAAGAAAACACTCAAGCATCACACACCTACAAGATTCCATCAATGTTCAGTCGTTTTTGGCAACCTGAAGGTTTAACTGCATATTAGGGTTTATGGTGACTGTCGTTCTTCCGTATAGCTAACAATGCCATGGGTGGCAAATACATGCCAAACATTCCTCCGAGATAAAAAATTAAATCACATACAAAAATAAAAGCTCTGTTCAGCATGACACGAATACCTACTATGCACCATTTTGCTTCAAGTTAACTCAGACAAATGGCATTTTTCACAGTCAAAAAGATACACAACAATAAAAGGCAACATAATCCCTCAGAATTATTGAGAGCAAAAACAAGATGATCAAAGATCACGACATAATGCTCATCTGTAAAGACATTTTCATCAATAGGGTTAAGAATATCTTTCCCGGACAAATTATCAATCACATAAAACCTCAAAAGAGCCAATCAAGGTAAACGTAAGTGCATGCAATGTAGCTCCAGGCTTAAAGAAGAACTTCCTATGGCAGTGGTGCAGAGTTTGGCACTGATAAATGAACCACAATCAGGCTCAGAGAACACTCTTAGAGAGCTTTGTGTAACACAAACTGCCTTGTTCAAAGACATTAATCAGGAGTGTCCAAACCTGCTCCTGGAGGACCACCTTCCAGCAGAGTTTAGTGCCAACCATCTCCCACAAACCTGGCAGGAAGTTTCAAGTAATCCTAAAGACCTTGATTAGCCGTTTCAGGTGTGTTTAGTGTATTTAGAGTCTGTAAGAAGGTTGGCCCTCCAGGAGCGGGACTGGACAACCACTGCATTAGGACATTCAGGTAACTGTCTTTTAATTTGTGCATGACTTCACATGTAGCAGCTTGTGGACAATTCCAAGAAATGTCTAAAATAATGACTTTCAAAATAAATGAGGGCACAAAGAAAAAGAAAAGCAACCAACAAAGCTTATGCAGTAACAGTAAAATCTCATATGGACGACTATGTCTTGCAATAAGAGGCTACACCTCTTCCTCGTCCTCCACCTCTTCCTCATTTCCAGGCATCTGCATTTTAACCCAGCCATCTGTAGTGAGGCTATGCTTCTTCTGATGTCGTTTGTAGTTGTCCCAGTGACCAGTGGTGTAGCCACACTCTTGGCACTTATGGGGCTTCTCGCCCGTGTGGCGCAACATGTGCCGCTTCAGGTTCATACTCTGGTTGCAGCTGTAGTTGCAGATGGCGCACTGAAAGGGTTTGGCGCCCGAATGCACCCGCTGGTGCCTCTTGAGATTAGCCAGGTTGCCGCAGGCATAGTCACACAGGTGGCACTTGTAGGGTTTCTCGCCAGTGTGTATTCGATGGTGCCGCTTGAGGTTGTCGAAGTGGGCGGAGGCGTAGTCACACTGCGGGCACTTGTATGGCTTCTCTCCGCTGTGGGTCTTCATGTGGCGGGCCAGGTGGTTCGGGTAGTGGGTGAGGAAGGGGCAGGCAGCACAGGTGTAGACCTTGTTCCCTCGCTCAGCGGGGCATCCGGGTGTGTCCTTAGTTAGCATCTCCAGGGTGCACTTTGCGCATATTTGGGCCGAGGATCCATCTTCGTCATCCAGGGTCATGCTGCAGAGCCGACAAGTGAAGGGGAAGAACATTGGGGGCAAGGAGGCAGGTTCCGATGCAGCCTGTCCTGACTGCAACAACCCTGTTGATGACTGTTGCGCAAGCCTGAGGCCATCAAGGGCGTGCAAGTAGTTTCCATCCCTTCCCATGTGGGGTCGCGGGGCAGACTGCACAGCACCTGGAACTGAAGGATTTTGAATTAAAACTCTCTTTTCGACGTT